GAGAGAGAGAGAGAGAGAGAGAGAGAGAGAGAGAGAGAGAGAGAGAGAGAGAGAGAGAGAGAGCTGGTGGGTGCTTGGGGGGGACAAGGTGATGGTGGTAATGTCCAAGGGGGGAGAGGTGAATATAGGCATGCTATCGGAGTTCAGTCATTGTTGCTCGTTGCATGCGAAGTTATTGACGAATTACCATTGGCTGGGTTTGCGGGCCTGTTCATCGCTGTTGTTGTTGGTTTGTGCAATACCGAGGGTCTGATGAGGGACATGGCTTGGCTCAAATTGTGGAACCTTGCTGGTATACCCTGTCTGTTGCCTACACCAAATGTGATGCAGATGGTCGAAATTGTCAGGAGGGCCAAACATGGGTGCTCCGGAAATACATGACATGCTAGCCGAGTATGTATGGACTCAATCACCTTCGCCGGTAAGTTGGTGGAAATGTTGTCATGCTTTTCTGAAGACTATGAAGTGCATCTTTCAATGTTGCAGTCTTTCTATCCTTTCTATCGAATCGTGCGCTCTTCAAGCCAACCCTCACACGTTTTCTCCTTGTGAATCATATCAAATATCACTGAGTGCACTACCGTTTTCCCCTGACTAGAACCTATGGTCATTGTCGCTGTATCTAGAGTGAAAGTTGCCCCGACTGTGAGTATCACTTGCTTCTAGTGTAGACGAACAATGCCCTTATTCATGAACACCCAAGAGGTGCGGCAGTTGCAGCATTGCGATCCTTGTTGCATTTCAAGGTTGAAGTCCGTGCCTGAGTTCCAGCAGATAGACGCTGGTTTCAACACCACTGGGCCGTCCTCATTGATCCCAATGACCCAGTGGTACCCTTACATAATCTCCCATGCAAGGCCGAGTCAATGGACACATCGAGCTTTTGTCTATTTGACGTTTACCCACAGAGAATCGTAGAAGATCATAGCCAGGAGAGTAGTGGTCGGCGGTATGGGAAGTGCTGCGAAGAATTATCAAAGAGAATAATATAAAAAAACAGTTAGTACCAAGTTATTACTCAGTCACCAGAGGCAGCCGGATGGTAGATGATAATGCCTCGAGGCTATTTGCCTTTTTCTTTTGTGTGGTAAGTGTCGTATCTGAGATTGAAATTTCCTGTGATCAATTTGGGAACTCCTTGCAGTTGTTTGTCAGCGCCCACTGAGACTAGGACTTTTTTGGATGTATCGGACCGCAGTGACCTGGATGTACCTGACCGCAATTATGACGAGTCCTGCATGTACCTGACCGCAATTATGACGAGTCCTGGATGTACCTGACTGCAATTATCGTCATTTCTGAATACATCTCACCACAACCACGACCAGTCTGGGATGTACCTGAATGCTGGTGCATCTAGAGCCTTCTGTTCTTGGTTTATGTACCAGACTGGTTCTTGGCTTATACCGTACGGTCTATGCATCACCGAGCTGATCGTCCCTTGCACCACTTTTCATGTTGCGTGGTTGTGGTTGATGTGTTGTTGTTGCAGAGTCTTTCGACGGTATCTAGACACTTTATTTGGGGATCAAGGCCAGAAGCCTTTGCGAGTGCATTGATTGATGTCATGAAAGCAGTGAGTCTCTCTACATACTTATCTTGAATGTCTGAGAGTTGTTGTGAAAAAAAGCTCTCCATGTCTCTTTTATGTTTGCAAGGAAAATTGCGCAAATTGGATACCTTGCGTCTCTGAACTAAGAGAAATGTTATTTGTTCATGCCTTGGCGACCATATGGGTAGAGGCGTCCAGGAAAGTCTCGTCCCCCCCTCTCCCCCCCCACCAGCAGGGCCAGTTTTGTTCAGGGTGTAATTTGTATGACGTCGAGGTTAAACCACTTCACGCGAATAGAACGCCCGGTAATTATTGCCGTATCTGGACTGAAAGTTGCACCAAATACAGATATAAAGACCGGGCGCTCTATTCGGGTGAAGACGGTAGTCTCTCTTCCCAGCTATTTTGTTCTGATGCAGGGGTTTGGCCTACCGGGCCGAAATGGATGATGGCACCAGGCGAAAAGAAAATAATTTTGCAGCATCATAGATTCAATTATTTGGGTCGCACAGCAGCATTCCGGGTTGGGAAGAACGGGGGCTAGGAGGAACTGGTGGGTCTACGGTCATTATAGCTGCATCTGGACTGAGAAATGCCCCAAATACAGCTATAATGACCGGGTGTTATATTCAGGTGACGACGGTGGCCGTACATCATTCACTGTGTCCAGTTTGGCCCCTACCCCGTGTCTATAGCAAACAGGTACACATCCGCCGCCTTGAATAAGTCAGTTGTCTTCATAACTGTACCAGGCGATTGTTTATTTTTGATTGTTGGTTTTCTTTTTGTTATGTGTCTGATAGTTGCCAGACGATCATTGGGATATCATGTATGCCCCTTAAAATATCGGATATGTATATGGAGCTCTTCATGTTCGTCTTCTGTATTTTTGTCGTTTGTTTTGCAAAGTGGGCTCTTTTAGTTTGATATATAATATTATATATGTGACAATATAATATATACGGCCATGCTGTGCCTCTAGTGCCAGCGGCGCGTCTGGAGTGTATTTTTTGGCTGTGACAGACCTTTCTTTGTTTCGTGGATGTTTTGCTGGCTT